CGCAGCGCAAGGTCACATTGCTGCCCGCGGTGACAAAGCGGGCAGGCGTGGCGTCGCGGTCCGAGGAGACCGTGATGATCGGCGGGTCCGGGCCGTCTGGAGGGAGGAGGGGTCGGGACTGCGAGTGTCAGGGTCACCTGGGACTCCGCTAGGACTCCCGGAGACTGGTTCCCCAGCCCCCTTCTCCCCAAGGACCCCCTGTCCCCGTCCCGAGGTACCCCCACACTCACAGAAGACGGTGACGTCGGCGGCAGCCTCCCTGCGGCCGAAGGGGCTGCGGACGCGGCAAGTGTACCGGGCGTGGTCGCTGCGCACAGGGCGCACGATGAGCAGCTGGTCGCCCTCTGAGCGGATCCGGGGAGGCTCGGCTCCCTCGGATTCCGACGCCTCCAGGGCGCGTCCGTCCCTGCTCCAGCTCAGCTCCCCGCGACCAGGTCCCCACCCCAGGCAGCGCAGCCGGAGCTCGGCCGCCCCCTCCTCTGTCTCTGGAGCCTTGGGCTGAACCGACAGCTGGGGTAGGGGCTCTGGGAGAGGGAGAACGGGCTCAGGACACAGTCCTGGAGCCCATCTTTGGTCCCCTTAGAGGGAGCCCCAGCCGCTGCTCCCTCTAAGCCCCTGGAGTCCCGGCCCGCACCCCTCTCCTCTCATAAACCCATGAGTTTGAGCCCCCAGACCCCTCCTCTCCGGGACCCAGGAGTTCGACAGAAGAGGCTCCCAGCCTCCTCCTCCTCCCTCAGACCTGGGAGTCCAGGCCCCCCGGAGTCTCCATCCCAAGTCCAACGTTGCTCAAACACCCCTGCCTTGACCTCTAGCTCTTTTCCTCCCTTCCTCAACCCAGAAGCCCTCTTCTGCCATCCAGGGACCCCACAGCACCGTGACTTGCCCAAAGCCTGGCAGAGCAGACCAGCCCCTGCCGCCTGCACTCCGGATGCCAGGGCGCACTTACCATACACACCCACCGTGAACTCGCGAGTCTGCCGGGAGACCCCTGCCCGGATGACCTCAGCTGTGTAGACCCCTGCATCGTCCAGCTGGGCAGAGGCGAGCTCCAGAACCCCCCGGGCCTGGTCAAATCGCAGGCGGTCTCGGTGAGCAGGGTCCAGGCTGATCAGAGGTGCCCCTGGCCCCAGGCCTCCAGTTGCCAGCACCTTAGAGCCCCGACGCCAGACCACCAGAGGGGTGGGGGGCCCAGGGCTGGGGACTGGGACCAGGGGGAGCCGGATGGTAGTTCCCACCAGCACAGCCAGTGGGCCCCCCAGCTGCTGGGGGAAGCTTGCAGCTGAGTGGGTCTCTGCAGAAAATTCGGATTCAGGGCTCTGGGCAGAAAGTTGAAGATCCATGTCATCAGGGGAGAATTTCGAATCTGGGGCCTCAACAGAGAGTTTGGTGTTGGAGACTTGAGTAGAAATGTTTGAAGCTGGGGTCTTAACAGAGAAGGAAGGCTTGGGGTCTTTGGCAGGAACTTGAGGTTCCGAAATATCAGGAAATACTTCAGAACCAGGGGTTTCAGAGGAGGAAACCGGGCTCAAATGTTGGCCCTCAGCAGAAACATTTGACCAGAAGGACCCAGACATGTTGTTGGAACTCAGGGCCTCAGGAAACCGGCTGGAATCAGAGATTCCAGCAGAGCCTTTTGAATCCAGAGACTGATCTGGAAATTTCCAGCTGGGAGGTTTGATGGAGGGAACTTCTGCACCCAGCCCCTGGGAAGAGCTCTTTGAGTCCGAAGAGAAGGCAGAGGAGAAGTTGGTTTGCTGAAGTCCAGAAGAGGCTCTGAGGGTGAGGACCCCTACCAAGGAGGCTGCAGAGAAGAGGGGAAAGCGTTGGGGGAGGCTGCTCAGGGGGACTGGAGGGGAGGGGACTGAGCAGGGAACTTACCCAGGAGTAGGAAGAGTGGCAGAGCCTGTGGGGTGTCCATGGTGCTGGCCTCACTGAAAGGACACTGGAGAGAGACCCAGGACTGCACCCATCCCTCCTGGGTCAGACGAGTCCAACAGGACTGGTAGCTTAGCTTCCTGGGAGGGGAAGGGAGCCAGACCCAGCGGGAGGGGCCAGGATCCCCAACCCCGATGTGGTGGCTGAGCTGCCCACCCCACCCCACTCTCTTCATCAGCTGGTCCCATCTGCAGGGAGGCCCAGCCTGATCCCTGCACTCCCCATCCCCAGGGGGCAGATGGAGAAAACATTCCTAGCTAAACATGTGGTAGCAAGTTTGTGGGACAAAGCCAGGAAGACTTCCTGGAGGAGGGTGAGGTGACCTTTCTGAGAGCCCCACCTCTGATGGCCACAGCTTCAGAACAGGCTTCCTCCTCCCCAGCCTCCTGGCCCCTTCCACTCTGTCTTGCCTGCAGCCTCAGATACACCTGACCCTGCTCCTCCTCTGCTCCAAACCCTCCTACGGCTCTCTCAGAACCAAGTCTCCAGGTGCTATCTCCTGCCAGGGCCTCTATCCTGAGACCAGAGCTGCATTTCTGCATCCCCGAGGCCCTCACATGGCCTGTGTCCCGCTAAACTCAGAATCTTTCCTCTAACCCAAACTTCCTCACACCTCCGGGATGGCTTCACCATCTTCGCAAATGCTGGGAAACATTCCCAACCTCCTCCCTCCTCGTCACCACTGTCAATCTGAGTCCAACCCTCCTCACCCTAGTTCTCACTGGCCAGGCCCTGTCTTCTCTTCCTGCCCGGTCTCCCTCCTCTGCCCAGTCTCCTCCAGTCGCTGCCAGGGTCTTTCTACACCCAGAGCCCAACCTGCCTTCCCCTGCTCACAGCCCTCCCCTGGCTCCCCAGCGCCCTCTGGAGACATCCAAGCTTCAAAGCAAACCCATGCACAACCCCCAACTCCAGCACTTGAACATCCTGCCCGCCCATCTCACCTCCCAGTCCTCTACCTGGAATGCTCTCACACTCTCCACCTCCCTCCAGCCTGGCTAAACCACAACTTGTCCTTCAGGTCTCACCTTATTAAGAACCATAGTAATTACCACTTAGTTTGAGCCAGGAACTATGCTAAATGTTTCCTATGCGTTATCAGGCTGAACCCTTCTAAACACGCTATGAGCTGAGTGTCATTATACTCACTTTGCAGGTCAGGGGACTTAGGCTCAGAGAGGTCAAGGGACCTGCAGGAGGTTGCACAGCCAGAGGGAGAAGCTGGACTTGAGACCAGGATGGTCAGACCGTTGACTCCTTCTAATAGCTTTTCCCACCATCCCATGCTGAGCTTAGGGCCTCTGCTCAGCTCCCAGTCCTCTAAGCTTACCTTGGCCCAGTTCTCACCAGTAATAATATTGGTAATATATGTATTTTTTGAGACGGAGTCTCGTTCTGTCACCCTGAGTGCCTCAGCTCACTGCACGCTCCATCTCCCAGGTTCCAGTGATTCTCCCGTCTCAGCCTCTGGAGCAGCTGGGAGTACAGGCACGCACCACCACACCCAGCTAATTTTTGTTATTTTTAGTAGAGATGGGGTTTCGCCGTGTTGGCCAGGCTTATCATGAGTTCCTGACCTCAAGTGATCCACCCACCTCGGCCTCCCAAAGTACTGAGATTGCAGGCGTGAGCCACCGTGCCCGGACTAACACTGGTAATAATATATATCTAGCATTTTTTGCACAGCAGGTGTGGTTATGGGGGTGCTACATAAATTAACCTTTCAAAGCTCCATGGAATAGATTATGTAGCTTAAAGAGGGCTGCACATTTGAGGATCCTCCTGTTAAGATGTGGGGTCTATCTCCCCACTCCTTGGATCTCAGTAGGCTTTGTGACTGCTGGACCAAGACGTGGAAGTGACCCTGTGCCAGGGTCTGCATCTAGGCCGGCATGTGCCACTTTCTATATCATAGGACACTCCCTCATGGAACCCAGCCGCCACACTGGGAGGAAACTCAGCAGTCCCATGGAGGGGAATCATGGCCCCTGGTCAGCAGCCCCAGCCAGCTTGCTGGCCATGTGGCTGAGCCCTCTTGGAAGTCAACCCCCTGGCCCCATTCGAGGCACCTGAACTGATCCTGCACCAAGGAGAGACAAGCTGTCCCTGCTGAGCCCTGCCCAGATTCCAGACTTAAGAGCATAATAAACAAGTGTTGTTTTAAGCCACCAAGTTTTGGGGTGGTTTGTTATGCCAGACAGACAACCAGAATATAGGTATCACTAATTCCACCTGACAGAGAAAGAAACTGAGGCTCAGGGAGTAGCTGCCTATCTGAGGTCCTCCTAGAGCCAGGAATGGGTCCAGTGGGATTTGACCAGGGCCCTGGGACCCAGAACCCATGCCCTTAACCCCTACATGATGCCGTTACTATTTTGATCTGCAGAAGAGGCAACTGAAACTCAAAAACAGGAAGGAACTCACCCAAGATCTAGCTGGCAAAGGTGAGAGTGAGCATATGAAATCACATGCTGTCAGAAGGCCAGAGGAATGGAACACAATTTTTTTAACAAAAAATTAGGCCAGGCGCTGTGGCTCACGCTTGTAATCACAGCACTTTGGGAGGCTGAGATGGGCGGATCACTTGAGGTCAGGAGTTCAAGACCAGTCTAGACAACATGGTGAAACCCCGTCTCTACTAAAAATACAAAAATTAGCCAGGTGTGATGGTGCAAGCCTGGGCAATAGAGCAAGACTCTGTCTCAAAAAAATATAATTGAAAAAAAATTAATCTGACTCTAGACCCAGGCTGTTCATCGCCACACTAAGTTTCGATTCTCTGTGGCTTGTCTCTGTCTCACACCAGAACCACAGCTTCTGGCCTCATTCTCTCCTGTGTCCCTGCTGAGACTGGGGACACAAGAGAGAATGCGTGTCCTGAGTGTTCTGCAAACATTGTGCATAAAAGCCCTTCTCACCCACCTCACTGATATTTGTGTTCCAACACTCAACGTGGCAGTCATCTCCCTGGGAAATCTCTGAGCCACGGGCTGGGCCAGGTCAGCTCCCCCAGTTGGGTTCCCAGGGGCCCAGTGTGCCTCCACGTCTAGCATACTTCACCCCGAATTACAGCTGCCTTTGTCCTCATTGTCCCCTGCATCAACACAGAGGCTCCTCGTGGGCAGGGACTGGATCCACAGGGCCTGGCACACAAAAGACTCAAGTAAATGTTGAATGAACCAAATAATGGGTCTCTAGGAAATGAGTTAACAGAGATAGACGTTGAGAGTCAGTTTTATTGCCATCTCTGGGAGGGGCTCAAATCCGCCCAATCTCCTTCAGCTTGGCCACTAGGTCCTCAGTGGTTTCCACCTTGACGCCGGCCGTGCGCTGGGGCGGGTCCTCCACGCTGATCACGGAGAGCTTGGAGGTCAGGTTCACGCCCAGGTCCCCAGGCTTGATCACCTCGATCTTCTTCTTCTTGGCTTTCTGCACATGGGAAGCCACTGTTCACAGGGCTGTGGAACCCCTGCCACCCTCCTGCCACCTCCTTCCCGTGGGTGCCATGCCTGCAGACCAGTCCCATGGGCTGAACCCTCTGGACCCACCGACTGGCCAGGACACACAAAACTTCTCATAGGGCCACACCTGGTGTGGAAAACTCCTGCTGGCTTGGAGGCCCTGGGAGGCCCAACTATTGCAGCAGTCCTCCTTTAGGTAACCAATGCAGGAAGCCCTTCACGGGCTGCAACAGACTGGCAAACCCATCCTTTTGGTAGTAATGACTCTGGACTTTTGGTTGAGATGA